CCTGAAAGATTGCGACATAAAATAGTATACAGGGACTGGTCTTCTCGCGCCGCAGAACCACATAGCTGAGAGAAAGAAAGTTGTGAAGCATGTATAAGGAGATGATGTGGAGATGCACAATTGATGTCTAATGAGGCGATCAGGATCCTGCCTTGTTTTCTGCATGATTAATAGGGATATTCTTTTATTAATGCTCTCTGAGTGACTCACGTGATCTAGTGCAATATTGGGTGAACGGTTGGCAGGTGTAAGGCAGGGGTTCAGTGCTTACGGTGACAATCTCAAGGGCGACGTATGCACTAAATATGTACGAATTGCGGGTATACCTATCCGAATGGTCAAGGTAGATCGATTTTTAAATGTACACGGTCTGAGATGAAGAAGCACTGTACCCATACGAAATTTAAAGGCACCAGAGGCGATCTCCCCGTACTGCTGACACAGGCGCTCATGGGAGTTACCGCAACTGCAACAAGACCTTCCAACATATTTGAACGTCCGAGATGACAGTTTTTCAAAATTTGAAGAGTAACCTGTCAAGCACTAAGAAGGCGAAACGGTCGCCCGGAAAGTTGTGGGCGCGAATGGGAAATCGACATAATGATTAGAACACTGGGTTATTCGCTCAGTGATAAAGTAAACATCTAGAATACATATGGGAGGCCTTCAACAATTGCCTGCCCTCTGAAAGGGCCTTACTCAGATCCATGGTCCAAACGTAAGAAGCGCTGTTATAATAACGAGATAAGGATTCACATATGGAGTTCTGGTCAGCAGATTTGCTGACATGAACAATGCACGGGCGGGTACGACAACATGGGATGGCTGGGATGTATGCAAGCCGTAAATCATAACACTGCCCAAGAAAACAGAACTCTGGTAACAGCATATTTTCGAGTCATTAAAATTGACATGAGTTATGACTGATGTTGATGCTGGCAATCGTCATACGGCGACAGTCAGGACCAGATGGGAACTGGCCTGTAGTCTATGGCAAGTCATGCATATATTTTGGGGAAACAAATGGCGAGGGCTGGCGGTTGCAAGCAGACTACGTGGTGGCCTCGAGAATGGCTAAATTGACCAAGAACTGGGCGATCGCATTTCCTTCTTTCATAATGATTGAAGTAGGAGCGATACGTTGTGAGAGGCTGTCCAGAGTAGCAAAGGAAATGCGCCAGCGATACCCCTCTCCGTTGGGCGCGTCCAGGTCTATCGACTGTGATAATCTTCAATGATGTCGTTTGATCATGCCGGGTGCCATTGCGGACAGCTGCTTGACTTTGTTGGCAGGAATTGCCATCACTGAAGCTCCTTGATGTTTTGAAGGCGGGGGAGGCAAGGCTTGTCCTGGAACAGACATAATACAGGATCAGTACCTGGATGGAACACAAAAACAGTAATGAAGGTAAACGTAGAGCCGATCGGCGAGCCAGGATGCATAGCCATAGAGCCCTAGTGGAACCGTGGGGTGTGCGTTCAAGGCTGCCGTACACCATCGTGTGTCATGGCGACCTTGAATGTCGTACGGCAAGGTTGGGTGCCGAGTTGCGGAGCGCCTCGGCGCCGTACGTACGGCCGTGGCGGCACGCAGCGTTGCGCTCGAGCATGGGTGCGAGAGCGTGGCTGCCAAGACTCGGTGGCGACGATGAAGATGGGGGAATCGTATGGGCCGGGTTGCGCTGCTTGCATGGCAGCGGCCTGCGTTGCCATGCGTGCAATAGGCAGACAAGGGGCTGCGGTGAGCACAAGAAAAGCTGGGATCCATGACAAGCTGGGCTGCTAGGCGCGGCCTGGATGCGGAGGCCTGCTCAGCGATAGGGGGCGCGAGCGAGGCGCTGGCGCCTACGGCGGAGGCATGGGGGAGCAAGCGACGGCAGGCTCGGGCGAATGGAATCGAATCAGGAGGGCGCTGATCTGATCAGGGAAGCCGCGGGGCAGTCGTGCTCATAACGTATTGAAAGTCTGGAAGGTTCTGGACATCTGGAAAGTTTGGGAGATCTCGGGGGTGATGTGACAGCTTAGGGAACATTTGACGGATAGGGGAGGATCTTAGAATGTTCTGGAAGTCCGTGGAATGGCTGGCTGTTCTATAAATAGAGAGGGGTCTGTCGTCATATAACTCTAGCCCCTGGCGACCTGGCGCCCGTTGCACCTTGAGGTGCTTGATGGCGGACGAACGTTGAAGCATTGTAGGACCTGGATCCATGTGTAACAACGATTCGGTGGCTGTCAAATCGGTGTGTCCGCCCAGATTGTTGGGCCTAAGTTGAGTGTGCGAAGCTGTGAATCTCTGTGCAGACCTATCGTTCGAAACGGCAAAGCATCCCACCTCCCTGGAAGGGGATTTCGAGAGTTGAACCTGGCCGGTGAGAGGGATCGCCGTAGCACATCGCATGCTAGTAAGTCGTGCTGGCCAGGGTAAGTTGCATGTCATGCTGAAAGTGACAAGAAGTCTCGGATAGAAAGAGGAATCCATGCCAAGGTCTGAATTGTAAGTTGCGCGCTGTGAATTCGTCGCTGTGTTCCTCATAGTCACCGCTGGCGAAGTTCGTGCGACTCCCGATCGCTTTCACCGACAAAATAGTTTGAATCGCATCACAAGAGAAAGACAAGGCTGCGATAGGGCGCTGTAAATGCTCTGAAAGCTAAAGCGGTCCTTTAAGTGGTAAACATTTCAGCATAAATTTGTTCTGGTGTTGAGAGAGAATCAGAAAGGGGTAAGCCCAAGCTCTGACGTACAAACGCCCTCCCCCCAAAATGTGTTCAAACCGAGTGCCCCCCTGCCCCTGTCAAGGCAAACCCGAACTCGACACGGGGAAACGAAAAGGGGCATTCGCTGACAAAGGCGCAAGTAGTGCAGCTGCGCCGAAGCTGGAAAGCAGCTATAGAAAAGCAGTTAGCCATTTCCAGGCACAGCCTCATATACATCGCCATGCTGGACGTCAGAATATACTCTGACGACGTATTAGTATCATTGGGAAGTATACGCAGCTCTAAGAAAAACGTAAGCAAATAGTTAGGTGTTTTTATAAACACCCATCAGTTGGTACAAATATGGAAAGTCCTTGGCGGCGTATTCCTGACACTATCATGTGTCAACTTGAGTGTATACAGCCCCATACTGGCTGCAAGACTCGCTGGGCTGTTCAGCAGATTGTGCAGTTTGTGTATTGGCAAGTGGTAAGGTCGTTGATGCGTGGCGAATCTCTTCAGTTCGCTGGCCTGGCTCGTGAGGTTGCTCGACTGAAATGGCAACTGAGCTTTCTGTGGAGTTCTGAGCGTGCAAGGCGCTGTCAGAACGAGCGGAAAAGGGACACAGGACTCGTCGCTTCGCAGCCTGTGACGAGTGTGGTTGCTGCTTCAGTCAGCAGCCCTTTTCAAATTCAGTCGATTTGCACCTTTTTCGTTGGTATATTTATTGGTTGTATAGTGTCCCTTGGTTGCTTGTTTCTTGGTGTTTGGATCGGGCACGCCCTGTGAGAGGTTCCCACAAATCTGACCGTGGCCCACCCGCCGAATTAGGCAGCCACTCCGATGGTCATGGAACACATGTTATGAAGGAAAACGCATGTCCAAAATCAGGATTGAAAAGAGGCCATTCGCCCCCCATCAGTGGTATGGATCAGTAGCTTACATCAGTTGTGCCTGGGCCAGCGGCACGGCAGTGGGTCTGTTACCACATGCTTAATGCACATCACAAGCCCTTTTCCCTTTCCAGAATACGATGCTTTGAAATGCGGATACAATGGCACCGACGCACCCCAGCAATTGGGAATCACAATCTATGCTTGGCATTTACAATTGAGCTCGAAACACATCCTGCTTGTCAACTGCAACATTGCCCGCAGAGCCGCTCTATGCAGCAACACATCCCACGGGGTAAATTCACCACCCAAAGTGTAACGATCTTTGGGGTGTGTGTGGTACTGGTCCAGCGCCTATGCAACACAACCAGCAGCATGTTTCCTAGTAGTTTGCTGTGCATCCATGGCCTTATGGTTGCCTGGGCCACTGCTTCTGCCATCATGCTCTCCACCCGCCCAACATCTGCGAGGCTTTTTGAGTTCTCGTCGACACCATATACAGCCCACGGCAAGAACAACCACCCACAGAAGTTCCGAAACTCACACACTCACATATTCGATGGAGCATCGATCGCCTATCAATCGCATCCTCACTGCAAAAATGTCCCTTGCCAACAGTATTGTGCAACTCCATCGACTCGCTTCGCACAATCCACCGATGACCCCTATATACCTGTCACATGTACCCACTGGTTTGTAGCAGTGGTCCATTCCTCCCAAAAGCATCCTGCAATTCCATGGGCTTTTCGACCCAGCAGATGGTTGGCGATGCGTACTGGCTCCCCGATCCACCAATCAACTGCATCAGCTCCACTGCAACAATCCCCCCTCCAAACAACATCCTTCAATCGCCATTGTAGAGATGGTGCGCACCAGCTGGTGGCTCGCAATGTTTATTTGACCCCAAAGGGTAAGCCAGAACTATCTGCAAACCAAGGAAAAACAACCATGGTATCTGCAAACCATGGAAAAGCAAACATGGAACTTGGACTGCTCTAAGAAATTATGCAACACGACTTCTTGTGCTCTTTTTCCATCCACCCATCGTCACACAATCTTTGACTGGCAAATGCATGTTGACCCCAAAGGGCCCATCAAACCAATCTTTGACCCACCCAAGCTAGACTTGGCCACTTAAAACACACTAACCATTCATGCAAAATGCCGTCTCCTTGCTGTATTCCCACCCGCCCCTTTGCCACACATTTTTTTCCACTGGAATTGCTCGTTGGATCCCCACAGGGCCCATCAACCACCCAAGATGGATCTGGGCACCTGAACGGGGGCCCATCACCCTAAACAATCATGTAGCATGCCTTTGTCTTTTGTCCTTTCGTCCACCTGCCCAATTCCAACTCAATCCAGACCTGGGCACCCTGAAAACCCCTAAACAATCTAAACAATCAAGCAACACTAAACGATCACGCAGCACCCCTTCGCCTTCTTCTTCCTGCGCCCACCCCTCTGCGCCACGATCCCCATCAGCTCTGCCTTGCTCTCCTCAAAATTTCGAATGAACCGCTCCCGGTCCGGAACAGCATTGAAGTCCCGCTCGTGCACCAGCCTGTTCCTCAGTGTTGCCAGGTACCTAGTCATGGCCACAGGTGCCTTTTTCTTTATTCCTAGACATAACATCGCATTTCAGCGTCCAGGTGCCACACCCCTCATCCTCACACAAGATATGCGAGGCCTGCGCCATCTTGAAAGACAGTGCAAGGCGATGTAACACCCCCCCCCGGGGAGGTTGGTTTACTGGCATCTAACAATTATTGCGAAAGCTCAAGAAGTTTAGCACTCAAGAGGGGCCACCAGCACATCAGTAATCGAAGCAAGTCGAGCTTGTCTGTTTTCATGAAACTGTCACTAGCACCTTGGATTTCAACTTCGTTCTTTCCTTTGACAACCGTCCGTATGCGTTGCAGAAGGGTGGCAAGCAGATAAAAATAAACAGATGAGGAATAGAAGAACGTTCACTTGGATGTGTACGCTCCCGTCAGCCTGCAAAGTGCAAGCGCCCCGTTTTGTCTTTGGAATGCAAACTCAAAGGAATTGATCCATCTGTCAGCCACTTACATCCAAGGCCAAAGCCATCTAGCCATCAATTGTGCGATTTTAGCACAGGAATCCAGACATCACCTACAGGATTGTTGTCAAAGGATCCAGCCATCAACTGCAGCAATTCTGCAAAGGAATCTTGTCATCATCCAAAAAAACTTGCAAGGAAATCAACCCATCATAGGAATTTCGATTACAGGAATTTAGCAAAGGAATCTGGCCACCTTTCACAGGAACTTGTAAGTAATCTATAACTTGTAAGCCATCAATCACACATTGATAATAATAATATATTATTCATCTCCATCAATGCAATTCATTTCCATCAATATAGTTCATTTTCATCATCCATCTGAATCCAGTACCGCATCTTCTTCACCAGCGCCTGCGGCAGGCCCGCCGCGCTCTGCGCCGAGCTGATCTTCTGGTGCAGCCCCTGGCCCTGCGCGCCGAACTCGTGCGCCAGCAGGTGCTCCAGCTCCTTGGCCGCGCGCACGGTCAGCTCGAAGTCGTTGCTGGAGTGCCGGGACTCCACATTGCCCATGTGGGATGGCCGATCGACGAGTATGTATATACCGACGAGTACGGATGAGTATCAAGGGGGAGAGGGGGGAAACTCAACCCCACTCGCCGCAGAAGCGTAGGGCGGTTGTGCCGCAGTGGGTGCACGGCGTTTTGTATGTGCTGTGTGTACTTGGAGGAGAGTACTGGGTCAAGTACTGGGATAGGTACTGGGAACGCCTAAGTACTAGGCTTGTGTGGGGCCAAGGCTCCACTGCCAGCAAAGTTTGTTGGGCGCACAGTGACGGAAGTGAGGGGCGGTGTGCCCCTGTGGGTGCAGTGCGTACTTGGAGGACAGTACTGGGATATGTGTTGTGTGCTCAACCCCCGTGCCGGGACGGCATGGACGTTGGTGCCACTGTGCTGGATCGGTCAGTCGATGAACCAACCTATCCAGAGGAAAGTCAATGCACCAGAAACGAAAACTGCATTGGTTGAAGCGAAGCACAAAAAGGCAGCAAGTGGACCACGTTCAGCACAATGAATCTGTTGTAGATGCGTGGCACTGCGTGGTGCGGTCCAATTCCATTGATAGCTACTTGTCACAAGATGACAAGGCAAGCCCTCTCACCAAGCTGGCGAAGCCCGGCCATGGTCTGATGAGGCGCGATGAGCCCCCTGTGGAAATTAAGGATTGTGGATTCTGGGAACTGTTGTTTGCAACAGCTTGGAAGGATATACATCGGTAAATGGATCACTGGCATTGCCGTTCTTGAGCAATGTACTGTCTCGGGCAGGACAGGGAGCTGAGGGCCGTGTCCTTGCTTTGATATGCAATACTCCATCGATTGATTGAAGCGTGCTGCACTGGCCAGCACCTTCGGCACAGATTCCGTAAATCGTGCTGGATGTTGGCCACCCAGCAAGATGAGAGTGGCCACCTCCTTGCCTTGATGTGTACCATTTCTTGGATTGAATCGGCTGCGGCGACAATTGAACTTACTGCTGGCAATGTCCAAACCACTGACTATCATGCAGACAGCAGATCGGTTTGGAGCTGCTCGATCTGGTGACCACCCTGTAGAAGAAGGTCAATAGAGTCCCTCACTATTGGGGCTGACGCACACATGTGGACGTCACAGTTTGCACCACTGCGAGGCGAGGTGCAACAGTCCCCAGGCAACCAAGAAGGAATCCATGCACTGCAGTCAGGTGTGCTATCCAGGAGACATGTCAGGACAAACCGCAATCAATAAAAGCGTCGAAACATGTTTGATTAGTGACAAGTTAACCAGTCCTCCCCACAGCCCCATGGGGCTCGTGTTGACAGAAACGTGGCTACAAGCTGTCGTGCCGCTGCTGCTCATGGCCAGCACACATCTGATGCATAGCATTCACCTGCATCACCATCAACTTCCCATTCCCCATCGAGTTTTTTAACCAAGTGCAGCTCCCCACGGGCTTCAATCCTCTGTCTAGAATCCACAAAGACCAGCCCCCTCATGTGCGCTATCTTCACTCCCTCTCTGACCTGCTCCTGTGCTCTCTCTGGTGTTCATCACCAGACATGCCACTGTCCACAGAACGTCTTCTCGATCCGTGTTGCCCTTCAGCTCGCGCCGTTCTGCCATGTCCGCCTCGTGGCGACGATCTGCCCCCATCCCCTCTCTTGCCTCGGCTGGGCGACCTGCTGCACAGCCGCCCATTTTCATGTCCATTCCTCCTGCCATGCCTGGGGGAACTGCTAGACCGCCCCCAGTACCTGCCCTGAGGCGATGATCTATGCCTCCCGACATGGCTGGGCGACTTTTGTTGCCTGCTGCCAGGGTTAGACGATCTGCTAGATGGCCGCCTGGTCCCGTGTTCGTGCCTCTTGCAACGGCCGGGCGATCTGCTGCACTCTCGCCTGCTCCTGATCCCATGATGCCCATTTTCTTCCTTGCGATTGCGTCGAACTCTCTCCACGTCATGCTCCGATCGCCGTGGACTGCGCCCTCTGCCATCTGCACTGACGTCAGCAGGCTGGGACTTTCTGGAATGGCGTTCTGCCTGCACATGCCTGTGTTGGTGCCGGGCCTGCAAGGCTCCCAAAGGCGACTCACTGTGCCGTTCACGGTGAGCTCTTGGCGAGCTCCTGTTGCCAGCCACATCCAGGCCCCTTTCGGACTGAGACTTCAACCCACCATTACGATCGCCCACATCTTCAGACCTGTCCAGCGCCCCATCGCTGGACGCCTCGCTGCTGGTCGCACCGCCGTCCCCCCTCCCCTTCTTTTTGCTCCTCCCAAACCCCGCCTCCCCAAATGACCCCTCCCTCTTTCTCTTCCTCTCCTTGCTCTTCTCCTTCTTCACCTTTTTCTCCTTTTTTTCCTTCTTCTTGCGCTTCTTTTCCTTCTTTTCTTTCTTCATCTTATCCATTTGCTCCATTTTCATATTTTTGTTCATCCCTTCCCTCCTCTCTTCTCCCTTCACCTCCCCATCCACCCCCTCCGGCCCCCGCCTCGGCCACTCGCCCACCCCCACCCCCTCCAGCACATCTCGCCGCTCCCCGCCGCCGACATACCCCGCCCTAAATCCCAGCCCCTTAACCCTCTCCCCACCCCCATCCCCCCCGCCCCCCTCCTCCTTTCTCAAAAGCTCCTCAACTTCATACTTTTCGAGCTTCCCGCTCCCCCGCCCCTTAACCACAGATGCCTTCTTCAACCCCAGGGCCTCCAGCATCAGATCTTCCTCCCTGGCCTTCACGGCCCTGATTTCGTCCTCCAGCACGTTGGCGCCGCCCTCCCTGGTCTTCGTATACCAGAAAAGGTCTTTGTCCTTTTGCCACCGGCCAACAGATGCTTTGACCGAATGGCCGATGTAGTAGGTGCGGTCCTTGTCGGACTTGACGGACTCCCAGTTGAACTGGTCGCGCCCGCCGCGGTTGCCACCGCGCACTGGGCCATTGTACATCGCGCTGATGGGCAACAGAAGCTTTTCCCGCGCTGAATTCCCTTGCCTGAAACTTGTCCTCAAAAGACAAGGCTCCTCCTGCGCTGAGCTCCTGTGCCTAAGACTGCCTGTGACAGGCTAAGCCCCTCGCACGTTTAACGATCTTGCCTGAAGTTTGGTTTTGAAACACAAGGGCCCCTCCGCGTCGTGTCCCTCCGCCTCTGAACAACAAGTTCCTCCCGCGCTGAGCTGCCTGACCACAATCGCCTGTGGGAGACAACAAGGCCCTCGGGCGCCGAATCCCTTTGGCTAAGGCTTGCCTTTGACACACAAAGCTCGTTCCGCACCAGTCCCCTTGCTCGAAATTGGCCTCGAAAGGCACAATGCCTTCCTGCACCGAATTCCTTTGTGTTTGAAATCGTCTTCGAGACTGCGTCTGAAGAACAAGGGTCCTCCAGCGCTGAATTCCTTTGCTGAAGATTGCCTCTGAAGGGCAAGGCGCCTCCTGGCGGGGTGGTTGCTGCAAGGGGGAGAGCCTGGCGGGCTGCCCGAGTTGGAGATGGAAGGGGCAAGGGCGATGGGGTCGTGGGAAGGGCGTTACGGGCGCCCGGCGCCGAGCGTGACGGCGTGGCGCCGTGCGTTCGCGCAAGGGGCTGTAGACTCTGGGGTCGGTAGCCAGGCAGCCGTGTCGAGGCTTTCTGCTGGATAGTTGCTCCCTGTGCGTCTGTTCTGCAAACTACTACTTGTAGCCGGGCTGCCCTTCTTAGGGTTAAAACACCCGAACCAAACTGAAAAGCAGAGTGTTAAAGGAAACGCACCATCATGCGTAGCACGATGGGCCTGTCCTCTTCAAAGTAAGCCAGAGAAGCGGCAATAGCTAGGCGATTGGAGGGGTCGCCATCCCACGCGCCGGCGCTCACATGGCCAGGCGACACGGAGTCCAAGGCGTGGTTCACAGCACAGGTTGTTGCGCCCCCAACAGGCTGGGGTGCGCTTAAAATGTTCAGCCACGTTCATGCCAATTTCCATTATCTGATACAAGGTCCCATTTTCGACTTCTAAGGATTGTCATAATCACAAATGCCCATAAGACAATTCAACCCCCATGCTACCTCATCACTACGATGCAGCCCACATCTGAAACATGCCACAGCTTCCCTTTCACTCAGAATTCAAAACAACATATCTCTGACTACTTAGGTGCCGCATATGGTCATTTCCAAACGCCCCCACTGCAAAGTGCAAGTACAACAAATCTTGCAAGCCAAAGTGAAAGTAGAGAGCGGTCACAATGTTGTAAAGCTTCGGGAAACACACATCCGAAACTTCCCCACAACACACCCTTGCATCCTGCGGACAAGACACTATGACCAAGGCATCTCTATGTGAATTGCAGGACATTCTTTCATCAAGCTCATGTTGTCCTCAACAAACATGAGTGTGATCGAAAACTACCTCAAAAGCCGAATTCCAAACCAGGATTCAATCACAGAAATGGCTATTCGGTACTTTCAGATTCTTTCAATCTCAAGCAGCGATTCACGCTTTGACATGCCCACTAGTCACAAGCCATCAAGCAGAAGTGATCCACCCAGTGAAACGGTGGTCATTATGCAGCGTCGCGAACAAGAGGAAAAACATGGCAGAGGAGCAAAAAATGCAGGGAGTTCAGTTGGGGAGAAATGTGTGGAGGAACGCACTTTAGCATTGGCAGTAGCAGTATCGCGGAGCGCTGCCCTTTGGCCTCAAGGAAGTGTGGTAGGCTGGGACGCGTCCCAGCGTGGGGGCCAGTCGTGACCCGCAAAATGGCATTTAGGTGTGGCACTGTGTCATTTTGCAGCACAGGACGTCAAGTTGGTTGAAGGTGGGGAGGGCGCACAACGTCGGAAAACTCCGGTTTGCTAAAAGTGTCCTCCAAATTTCCAGGCTCCAAGGAAAGGCCCGGAAATGTCTCAATTGGCGGCAGAACTGGTCCCATGCCCCTGCCATCGCTTCAAGCACCCCGCTTGTCAACCCGCCACAATCGCCGCAGAGATGGCAGGTCGCCGTGCTTGCAGACTAACCCACCTTTCCCAAGCCCCTCATGCTCCACCCGTTCTCCAAACTTTCCACATCCCTTGTTGGAATCAAAGCCACCCCGGTCGCCGCTGGCTCCCTTGTCACATCGACATGAATCGCCAATCGAGACCGCCAGATTTGGATGGGATCGTAAACTGGAATCGATGGGAATCGACGATGCCAACTTCCAATCCCAGATGATGTTGCAATGGGACCAGCGGCAGCCGGCCACGCTCGGCGACTGTGCGGAACCGGCCACAAATGTCCGACCTCAGGGGTTCTGTTGGGTGTTCGTTCTTTGGTTTTTTAAGTCCCTGTGCGGACCTCAAGGCGTTGGCTAGTTCCCTTATGACCCTTTCCTGACTATCATTTCTGATACTTATAGGCATCGAACAATCCTCAAGCAATCTCACTGTGCTCATCCACCTCACAGGGCCCTGCTGGGGCAGCCCGCCCTGCGCCCCAGCACCATGCATTTCTGTGTTCAGATCTCAAGAGGTGATTCACTTCCATCACAGCGTTTATGCCAAAGTATTGCAGTGCCAACAGTGACAGCAAAATGGCTATGGCGAATGTCATGCATCCCTTCAGTGATGTGGCTCACCAAGGATGAGCGAACCCTGTTTGACAGTGTGCAAATGGTGCAGTGTCAGTCAGAGTTGTAGGTGCAACGATTTCTCGATGACAAAGATGACATCAGTTAGAGAACAGTTACACCATGTGAATTTGGCAACAATCGGTTTACCAAATACTATGTCAGCGACCAAGCATGTGGCAGGCGCCTACCGTTCACCAGCCTGCCAGCCGCGAGCAGCCCTGGCCGATCCATTCTAGGCCATACAACTGGCCAGCCTTGAAACATAAACTGTGCTGGCCTCACTACGAACCTCTCAAGGCTACATATCCTGTACCTGTTTGCTTTCTCAGAACGCTGGGTAGATCAACACAGAATGGCGTCGTGTCACACCGCAGTTACGCTACAGGCCCGCCCCATGCCCGCCATGTCCATACATATCTGGGCAGTGAAGGCAGCACACACAAAATAACTTGTCGCTTTTTCTCCTGCAGCCTAAAAGATGAGCGCAACCTCAACAGGCCATCTGCAGAAGGTATGACAACAAGACAGTCCTCCGCACAGCAACCGTACCGCTGCAGATCCCGTGGAGGTGCATCTCTGGTCAGCAGCAGAAACCCATCCCCACAGTCGCTCAATCCACATGGATCCAGCTCGGTCATGCATGAGCTCAACAAGCCAAAATTTCGATTTTCTTTTCTCTGTCTTCCAAAAGGTAACCCCCCTCCAGGAATCCCTCTTCCGCCGCTCCAAACCCACAGCGCCTGTAACATGAGTTCTCTTTGACCCCCTCTGGTGACTGCTGTCCTCTGGCATTGACTTGGGGCTGCCCGCACACCACAACTTGGTGGACACACATGCTCTCGGGACATAACACTGTGCTTGCATTCGTTGCCCGACATCGCCAGCTGGGTGAAAGGGCTTGTCTTGTCTTGTGGTGGCAAGTACACAAGCAACAGAACTCCACACACATCTCCAGCCAGAACAGCGCAGAGGACGAGATCACCTTGCCTCCCCTTGGACCTTCACAGCCATCCCAGCGTGCCCCTTCCCCTTCTGCTGCCCACGCCCCCTCCTCTCCACACAAGGCCCTGTTGTGAGCCGCCCGCACCCGCAGGCGCAGGAATGGCCACACTATCACCAGAAGCCCCAGGCATCTGCCGCAACAATCCAGTGCCCCCCATTCCCTGCACCCCTTTGCCGAACTGCGCGCCGCCAATGGGCGGGCGCCGCGGGATCAATCCAGGCCTGCCCGTCCTCTGCGTGCCTTGCAAGAATTGGGGTGTTGTCCGCAGCCCGCCCTGAGGCAGTTGAAATGGCCCCGTTCCCTGAGGCCCACTTAACACCCCCTGGCCCCTCCCGGAAACTTGCAGGCTGCCTTGGGCACCCAACTGCGGCGGAAGCGCCCTCAAGGTGGAGGTTGCTAATTCGGATCTGCCCCCTGCGGAGGGCACAGGGCGCAACTGCAGGCCACTGACCTGACCCTCAACCTCTCCTGGCAGCTTTGGAGAGATGGATGGGGCATTGCATCTGTGAAACTCTGGCTGGCTGAGTTGATGTGGCAGCTTGGGCGGGGGAGGCGGCGGGGGCGGTGGGGGTTGGAGGAATTGCCCTTGCAAGGCTGGTGTAGGCGGGAGGGAGGGCGTGACTGGAGGCTTGTGTCCTGCGACTGGTCGGAGGAAGGGGTGGCCCGCTGGCGGCTGTATGGTCGTGCGGCTGCTCGTGGGGGTGGGGCCCCCGTTAAGGTCCACCACTTTGATCATCTGCAGCGGGAGCTGTTGGGCCGTCCGCAGTGCAGGTGTTGGTGGAGGCGGAGCAAGGCGTTGGGGCGTTTGTGGCCGGCTGGGTGCTTGAGCATGCCGGTTCTGGAGCAGGTAACACAATGCGGAAGGTCAGGACTGGAGCGGATGATAGGCAAAGACAGTCAGGCCCAGGCTTTCAGATGTCTTCCAGATGCCAGCAGATCATCAAGCGGTCGCACAGCCACAAGCCTGAATTGGGGATGCTTGTTGTGGGCCCACAGACCACAGACGAATTGGGACCATCCTGAGCGTCTTTGCAATGGGTACATGTATAGTTAAGTGTCAAATCAATTTCCCAAGCACCTGTCAGGTCCACTTTGCTGCCAAAACCAAATTTCCCCTCCAAATGAACAGGGACACAAGGTCCCTGTGCTGCAACAGGGCACACTTGAGCATTGTTGATTTCGCAAGAGTATGATGACTGCTGCACCAGCAACAGTTAGGCAAAGCCTAAGCCCCACAAACCTAATAAACAACCAACACAAATGCCCAAAACCTATGATGAAGCATAAACGCTGAACCCCAGAAACCTACCGACCGCGTTGCTAATTAATTCCGGTTAGGGCTCTGTTCTGCAATTGCTTATGCAGTAAGCAAGCAACCTTCCTTTGCCAACTGGCTCCATCACTCGTGCAGGCACAGGTGTTCTTGCCAATGGTTGAGGACCTACAACAGTACGGCACCAAGCACCCAGGCGCATGGAACATGCCCAGCATCACTTCATGGGTGCAAGAGCAACGTTTTCTTTGATTTTGACGAACGCACCCATAGGTGATACCAGAAACGTTCTTGCCCCATGAATAGCTCCCATTTTCTATAGTCTCACATTGGCTGATGTGCACCTGCCGTGCACTTGCCACGAGAGTCACAGCAATGCCCCAACGCCAGAGAACATAATCCCACAGCTCGCCTCTCACCTTCACTGTGGCCCAGGGCATCTGTGCCCTGCCGGTCCCATCTGAAGAGCTCCTGTTCAAGTGACTCGGCTCCTTGTCTGGCAGGTGTGCGCCTCCGCCCTTCCTCCCCGACCCGCTCATCCTGCTGGGCTTCTGCTTAGGCAGCTGCATCCCACCCAAGCCCATCTGGGCAGGAACCTGCTGCATGGATGCCACTTGTCCAATTTTGATCTGTTCAACAATCTGGGCAGGCATCTGCTGTATGGGCTCCACTTGTCCAATTTTCTTCTGCTCCCCAATGAGCTGCAGCCCATCCATGCAACCCACAAACTGCCCCTTCCTCCTAACCAGCAGCGTGCTGAACGCCTGCTGGTCCACCTCGATCCTCTCACCCTTCAGCTCGGCTGGTATGCCATCAAAATCCACCTCAGGCAAATTCTTCCCCCACGCTAGCTTCCTGCTGGCAGGGGCAGGATTGAGGGGCTCACCCCCCCTGCCCTGGGACGCCTGTGGCTGCCCTGGCTTGCAGCCACCTTGGAAGGCAAGCCCCTTTGGAGGCTGTTGGGCAGATTCCCCAGTTGCAAGGGTGGTGCGCGGCGCGCTCTGAGCTCGCCTTGGGGGCGGCTCCCAACGGATTTGGTTGTGGGTGGATCGGCTGCCCGCAGGCCTGGCCTCGCTCTGAGCTGGTCTCGGGCTTGGGTTTTCTTGCCTGACCGGGTTGGCGGAGGCGGGGGGTTCTTTGGGTGGAGCCGCGGCGTCCTTGGGGCCGGGGAGTGCCGACTTCAGCCGCTGCAGCGCGGCATCCTGCTTCAGCTGCAGGAGGGGCACGGACTTGGAGTTAGATGCTGAGAGACAGCAACACATTGGCCGTGCATTGCATGCAGTTACTTTACTCAATTTTTGTGCCATGGAGTCCATTTTATCACGTCCATTTCAAGACAATCCAATGCACAGCCACAGTTGTGACTCATTTTGGCATGTTGACCATGTTGGACTGGCAGCTCTCACACCATGTTTTACAGCATTGATGAGAGCTCCCACCCAAACTTCCATCACTGTGGAATTGCACCGATTGCCTTAGATGCAGTCAATGCAACTCCACACCGATGAACTTCAATGTTTGACAAATTTGGTCAAAAGCAGTGACAGCAATCTACACCCTTGAACCCTTGCACCATTTAGTCAAAGAAAATCGCAAAATATCCAATCAGCACTTGCTTAATACTGCAACAGTTGCAGTGACACACACCACCCAGTTGTGCAACAAGGAGACAAGGGGGCAACACAAAACTATCGTTGAGGATGTCTAATCGCAAAAGGGCCAGTTCTTCCCTGTTCAAATCCCGCTGCAGGAGACTTGGCCATTCCTAAAAATAGGATGCTTGTACACCTTCGATAGCACCATATCACTGAATCACACTGTTGCAACTTTCCAAGGAGAAATGTGCAAGTGCTGCACAAGGGGTCACGCCCGCTACTGCCAAAATGCAAGGCAGCACCTCATCTCCCATTCTTTGAGGAACGATTCTCTCTGGAAAATGCAACAGTGCAGAATTGTGCAAGACCGGTGTTTGGCCGCACGCTGGCAAATAAATTCAAACTGTGCATCTCATCCCGTGCAGAATGGTTATCTCACAAACTGACTGGCTTTTCAGGTGCCAATATGAGGGCTTCATTGTCATGGCTATCTCTGACAAGCTCCACCCACAGCAGCTGGGTTGACACGCATCATTCTCTTTAGGGCCATGCACCCCAGAAGCAATATATGTAGCAATAATACAATAATGCAATACAATATGTACAATAATGTAAAGGTGCAATACCAATGCCAGGTATGCAAGGCGCAGGCTGGGTCACCAAACTGCCGGCAACTAACACCCTTCAGGAAAAGTGAAATGTGCAAGTACTGCACAGCGTTGGGCCTTGCACCGTTTCAGCCTAAAACAAGGCTAATTGTGCACGACTCAATTCCGTTAAAAACTGTTTCTTACACACTTTTGAGCAACTGTACTTATCAGCAATATTGTTCCTTCTTTGACACAAAAACATCACTCGAAGCGCTTGTATTTGCACCAGCTTTTGCAAAATGCATGCATTTACTTCGAAGTGAAGAAGTAACAATCATCGCCATGCACTGACCTTCTGAACCTGTTTTGGCAGCTTGCCAGGCTGAGGCCCACACACCCAATCCTCCCCGCCTCTGGCCACCACAGTGCAGCAATGGTCCAAGGAAGCTTTCAACACCCCCGAAAAGCCATCTTCCCTGTACCGGCGATCGCTGAACCGCCATCCATACATGTCGGCAAACCTCGATTTCACAGACTCGAGTTTGACACCTGTCAACTCCGGTTGACTGCCAGGCCGGGTGTTTCCGTCCACATCTGCGGATGAAATGGCAGTCTGGACTCAGTGCCAAAGTACAACCTGAAGGTACTTAAAAGTCTGCAATTTCAGCCGAAACACTAAAGTGGTCAGTGTAATGCCACTGTGTGTAAAACCACCCTTGACTTGGCAACCTCCGCACTCAGTGCAATGCCATTTGAAATCAATGGCATGAGATTAGGAACGAGTCCCTGCAGTTGGAAATGAATACAGTTTAATTTATCTTGTCTAAGTAACTTGACTTAACATGAATGGATTTGGACTTTGGCAATTATGACGCTAGGACGTTGGACAATCTGCATGAAGGCTTGTGCCTAACATTCTGCTTTGCAGATGCAAGGACCATGACTTTGACTCTGCCACGTGTCACAAAAGATTTTGCATGCTAGGTTGGGCTCAGTAAAATTCTTCCTTGCCACAGCACCAATTCATTTCAGCAGTCCTTCATCGCCAATCTACACAACTGTGGGCAATGCGAGCCTCCGGACAGAAATCACAGCTGTCCTTCATCGCCAATCTACACAAGTGTGGGCAATGTGAGCCTCTGGACAAAGGCGCTTAATAACTCAGGGCAGCGCCATGTCACAACAATGCATGAGAGTGTCTGAGTTCCCGAGGCCCCATGCAGCACAACGGTGCTTTAGACAACATGTCTGATGACAAAATACCGGCAAAGACATGAGCAAAAGGTCTTGAACATTCTGGAGGGAGCCCTGTCCATCATTGCCTTGCAGGCACAATGGGTTCGCAATGTACTTGATCCTGCCTTCGTAGATGCAGTCAAATGGATTGCAGTGCCAAGCGCAATCAGCAGAGTATGGGCAAGGCAATCAACAACTAAAATTTGACTTCCAAAGCAAATAACAAAATGAGCCGGACAGTCACAGCTGCACAATTTGTTCAAAGTACATGCTTATGTGCAAAGAAGGCAGGCAGGCATTGACATTTGCACCATGGGATCAGGAATCTGCTTACGTGCAAAGAAGCCAAGCAGGCAATTGACATTTGCACCATGGGATCAAGAATCTGGATAGTATCAATATTCTAATACACTGTGAATATTCCACAACTGTATTAACATCCTAACTGCAGCGGCACAAAGGTGACTAATGTTACTAATTTGATGTCATTGTTGATGTCACAGCATCCACAGCTCCCAAATCTTGGCTTGCACCTCATCTCCAAACGTGTGATACTGCGACGAAACCATGAAGTGGATCCCCAAGAACCCAAACTCCAGCATCACTCCCTGCAGTTTGAGTTTTCACGTGGGGTGTCTTAATGTCCCATCAACCAGTGCACCCTTGTTGCTTGCCATGTAATGAACATAATAAAATTCTTGCACAGCTGTCTTTGCACCCTTGTTGCTTGCCATGTAATGGACATAGCAAAATTCTTGCACAACTGCCTTTTCCCAACAGACATACCGATGGGACAGCCAACACCCTTGAGGCAGTTCTCCAGAGCCAGCCGCAGCAGGAAGATCTCAGTGGGGTGAAAGTATATGCTCTCGATGCCCCGACGAAGCTCGCATATGTCAGACAGCAGGCCCATCGCCCTTGAGATGCCTCCGTACTCTCCCGCCACGAATTTGTACTGAAACAATCTGAAGAAATCCTCTTCAGCATCCCTCAGCGCTAGGCCATGGGTGAGCGGCAGCGGTCGCGCCTCGAAACCCATCCTCGCCGAGTCGCTGGCCTGCGGCTTTGTGTCGCACAGCCTGCCCGCCACCCTTGCCATCTGGCCTTCCAGAAAGAGTCGCATGTCCACGTAGGGATCGAAAACAGGCGCCACCATGCTGCAAGAGAAGTACTCCAAGTCCATTACAATCATAACAACTGAAAAAGAGCGAAAATCTCTAAAACAACTCCCTAAGCCTAATTTCATAAAGCCTAATCTTATTAGTGAAAAAGCAGTTGTAGCAGATGGCTACCGAATGCAAAAAAAAATGTTGTAGGTAGCACCAAATGTGCACACTATGTCACCTTCTGTTGTCTTGACGGCACCAACAAGGGACAAAAAGTCATGACCCCAATAATACGGGGATGGAAGGCAGCTCCAGTCCACAAGGCCAGCACTGAATTTCAGCTGTACGCTACAGCGAATTGCACGATCAGGGCCTTCGGAACGAGTTTTCTACTTCTGCAATTCCTCACAACACCACGCCGATCTAAAATCTGAACGGTGTGGATAGTTTTGCACGGGCGGCTCTGTTCCGCTGCCGCAAAAGCGTACTCCTCAAAACATCAAAAACGGCCATTTTCGCGGAATCGTTGAAAACGGGTGGGTTCATGGCTGGAGGACCCTTACAACAAAGTACTGCCAAATCCTCAATACTTAGCGGATTGACTTGAAATTTCGACCACATACTCCGAAAACGTAGGCACAGCTTTGGACAAAGTTTCATTGGAAAAGGATGAACTTTATGATGGAGCGATGTGTCACAATCATAGAGGACAGTTAATATGGGACAGAGGAAATATATAACTGCGCCAATAAACAACAACAGGAACAACAACAATTAAAACATGGACAACATCATTGCCTAAAGTACAATAAGCCCAATCTGTACCAAAAACACACACGCAATTCTGGTGCCGCCCCACTCACGTTGAGCCCTCCCCCTTAGACAAAGTCAAGATGTCCTTGAACACAGTAGATCCGAGCATGTCCTCAAAATCCATGCAGCCAAACGAGCTGATGGTGCTGGCAGCGTCTTCTATCACTGCGTCCGACACCAAACCTTCCCTACAAGCACATCAAAGAGCACACAATCTGCAACAAATCTATGTCAAGCTTTGGTATGTCACTGTAACATCCAAGGAAACAGACGCCGTTTGACAATCTGACTTCAGCACAGAAGCATGACATTACTGGTATCACGTTCCATGCTGGCCTCAGGCATACCATGTGTCAATCAGTCAGCGCACCATAGAAACGGCACAAAATAATGCTGCCTGATGATATGAACTCAGCAGAGACAATTGCCACCACCAGTGCGGGCCATTTTCACATTGCTCTAACGGATACGTTCAGCCAGCAAGTCAACATCAGATCCAGTTCCACAACAGGTTCACAATCAGAAACCCATGCATGCAGTTACAGAATTCAGATGCTGGATACAACAGCAGACAGTAACCAAAGTGGTGACAAGATGATGTTGTGTTTAATGTGCTCCCTACTGAGGCAATGAACAAACTGGCAAAGCAACACAATGAACGCAAGATGCCCCCACATGCAGTCTGTTGACAAGGCATAAAGGGAAAGGGGGCCACACTGTGGCATCAAGCAAGCAAAACCCAAGTACGGGGATATGTTTTTGAGGCTGAGGACAAAATAGGACACCTGCTGGCGCAGCGGTGGGGCCATGGTACATTCGGATGTCCAACTCTGTGTGATCTGATCAACAACAAACACCCACCACAGCTTTCGCTCCACATCCGCGATGTCCAGCATTGAAGTAACTGACTTCGTCGTTGGGCACGTGGTGGCGTACAGCGTACATGGGAGAAGCATGTTGAAGAGGGCCTCCCTGCAAACAGATGCATTGCGTTCCACAGTTGGGTCACTTACGATCCAATGACCGCTTAAGGATTCCATAAGACTGCACATACTCTCCTTTGCTCCCTGTTCCTTTCTCTAATTTGGTTTCCGGAGGCAAACAGTGCCTTCAAGTGTGATAAAGCCTTGTTTCACCACTGTTGCTCATGTCGCCTGTCATCCATGTTTCACTCCATTCATGCCTAGCCCATGTCTTGAGCTGTGTCTTATTCAAAACTGGAACTTAACGCATGCTGCATCCCGGCAGCCATTTCAACAAACTCAGGACAAAAAAGCATCAGACTGACTAAAACTTCGCAACCAACAGCTCAGGCCCCATTACATGTCAGGATGTGTCCACAACGTGCACGCATGGGATGGTTTCAAGGTTGTATGGACCCAACTGGACACCTGCAAGCTTGGGGCCCTTTCGCCTGACATCGCCATATTGGTGACATGGCATTGCCTTGAGTGGCTCATATTGGCTCGGTGTCAACTTCAGTACAGCAGAATTCATATCCGTAAGGGGCACAGGTGTTGCATCTTCCAGTGCTCATGCTCCGTGCCAGCTGATTAGCGGCAACAACAACACCCCCTGTGTTCTCAATCCGTATCAGTAAAACACATGAACCAGTGCTATTTGCTCTGATCACGACTGCCAGAGGCCAACTGGAGTGGTGAGGCCCTTCACCTTAGGATTGTGCACTCAGGCTCATATGGTCAATCTTTGGGATCTACATCGGCTTGCACAATCTTGTAAGGTGACAAGAGCTCACCTCTGTTCTGCTAGGACAGGGATGGCATCTGGACTCTTACATGCGACTCACAATTTTTGAATGAAACAAAACAATACCAAAGTGCCAGTGTCTGAAGCATGCCAGCAATCTGACATTGGCATCAGACAACCCAACAGCTGTAGCCATTCACAAGTACTCCAGGCTCATATGTGAAACCAGAAGGAGGATCAAGTTGAACAAGAACTTTTAAAGAAACAAAGATGAGCTCAACTGCAGCGATTTTAGCCAGCCAATGCCAAGTGGCATTAGTGCACTGGTGTGAACTTCTAGATAACAGACAAACAAATATTTCCATTGCAGCAGAAAGCCAACCACAAACTGGGCACGGCACCTGTCAAAGATTACAAGTGCAGGATATGGATCACAGGTCTGACAGCAGAAATAAGGAAAATGGCAAGAGTGGAGAGAGTATTGCCTCAGGTCAACTTAGACCTCGGAGATATTGCTGCTGCCTGATTATCTGGGCTCAGTGGAGACATTACCAGTGTGTTCACGTTGCTATGGACACACTCATTCCCTTAGCAATGCATCATGAACAAAGGTTCATTCTCCCCTGTGCTGTTTACATAGAATTGCCAAGCTTTTTAAACTGAAGGCACAGAGCTTGCTTACCTTGTCTTTGTCAAAACCTCAAATGTACTGTCAGCTGGATTCTTCTCATGAACCTGCCAGCATGTGTGACACAAGATACACACATCTTAACTTAGCAATACATATACAAGCGGCAAGGAAGTGATTTGTCCAATGCAGATAGTTGTATGTGACAACCCAATTGTCAAGATTGTACACACACATGTTGCAGAAAAGGAACTGTATGTGCACACATTTGTGGAGGAGATATATGCATTGGTGTTGGGCTTGCACATTGGTTAGAAAAGGGAAGGGAAAAGGAAGCTGGCGCTGCCTGACAAGACTGGGTGCATGCCCGGCACTCGTATTGCAGCAACAAGCTTCACTGCCTGTTCTTGTGCCTGGGAGTGAGCATATCAGTGGGACATACCCTAAAGTATGCCGACTCAGGGAGCCATGAAAATTTCTCTCCTGGCCAGAGCTGAGGGAAAGGTGCCGACAGAGGGACATGTGATCTGTGGGTGTGCAGAGAGGCTGCAGCAACGCTGCAGTCAACAAAGATCCATTCAGATGCGAAAGTGTGCCATCTCAGTTAACAGTGAGTATGCACTCTTGGCTTGGAGCTGTGGGAGAGTCATACAGCCCACAGCAATCCAACAGGACAATGATTTGCTATGTGCTTTAGAGAAGTACTGTGCAACTGATCGTGTCGGTAAAGTCCCAGACTGGGGGCACATTTGCCTGAAACAACATTGAAAGGAGATGGGCAGGCTGTGTCTGCAATGTGACGCATCTTGCCGTTCTGCCACAGTAACTTTACAGTCTCACAGAAATGTACACTTGAACGGGTGCTATTGTTTGGAACAGAGCAACCCTTGGAAAAAGGACAATACGGGATGAGTAAACTGTGGGGTAGCTGCAGCAAATAAAAGAACCAATCTGCACCATAGATGCACCTTCGATGTGACAGAAGGCAGCGCAAAGTATAGGGTAGTGCTGCAAAATATAACGGGACTGCAGAGTGCAGGAAGCCTTGTGTGCACCTCAGAACTGGTGCTGCCTAAGGAGGCCATAGAAACGGGGCAACTAAACGTTTTCTGCTGCCGTGAAGACCCATTGCCAGCACTTCATCCCCATGACAAAGTGAGCTCAGTGTTAGGACTTCTTGCCAGACTCTGTGAGGTCCTTGTGCAAAATGGAAGCTGTCTTGTGACTGGAGTTCAGCAGCAGCATGCGCTGTGCTTCTCTTTCTTTTCTTTCTTGGCATACAGCGCAACAGATGCAATGAGCTGCTTTCGCCATGTCCTGGAATTCAACATAGAAACCAGTGAACAATGCTGCACCCGCCCTGCGCCCACCTCGACAAGGCTCCCTTTGCTGCTGACCACAACCTCTGGGTCAGACACCTCCTGCAACAGCGCCAGCAAGGGCTGGCAGTCACCCCCCTCGACCAAGGGGGCCCCAAACTTTGCTGCAAAGTCCGTGTTCAACTTCTCCAGCCAGCACCTCGATTTCGGACCCACTCTGCAGCCGGTGGGCCCAAAGGGCCCGGTAGTTGCGCCGTCGGAGCCTGTGTCTTCTGATGCGTCCAGCCCCGCAAGGTCTTCATCTGGGCAGATGGTGAATTGGCTTATCTCCCCACGGTTCTTGGCACCAGGCACCTCGCCATCTGGCTGAGTCCCTCCGATGCTGATCTCAGCTGCGAACAATGCAAAGAAAATTTAGAGAGCATTGTCGACCAAAACAGAGTGAGTTCTTAATTAGAGTGAGGCAGTGGTTAGCCAAGAGTCAGTGAGTGATTCGTCATGGTGGCTACCAACAGGTCCAACAAAACCACACACACACACACACACACACCTGATGTGTCCTCCGGTATGGAGGATTTCGAGGTCTGGGTTGGGTTTTCCACTGTTGGATCATTCAGAGTGTTCCTGGCATTTGTGGGCATGTCCACTGCGCCCTTCAGCGCCTTGTCCCTGTCCCTCTTCCAGTTGTTGAACCTCTCTTCCAGAAACTCCTGCCTCAGCAGCAAGCTGAACCCATCCAGCAAGGTCAGTCCCCTGGACGCCAGCCTTGCAGGTATGTTCTTTTGCGCATTTTCTTCTTCCACGCCTTCCCGCTCATCGTTGCTTGAGGGTGACACCACCTGCTCCATACCGGGGCAGGGCAGCAGGTGTATGGCTTTCTTCTTGTCCTCACTCACAAGGACAAGGTGGCCCAACTTGGACTTGAGAAAGAGGGACATTCTGTCAAACCCAAACTGCCTGTGGTTGACGGAGTACCCGTGCTCCTTCTGGAACAGCTCCAGCAACTGCTGCAGCGGCACTCCCTTGCAGCCGGAGGCTCTACGCAGCTCATGGGAGACAAGCCCACAGAGGTCATGCAGCATCTGCGCATTAGTGACGGTTGGCACAGGGAGGTGCTCGTCTGTTGTGCTTCGGCACTCCGCCGTGTTGTCCTCCTGTGCTGTTGGAGACCAGCGCGCCGGCTTGCAGGCAGGAGTTCTATCACGCTGGCTGCCTTCCTCTTTTTTCCTCTCAGGCTGGTTGTTGGCGCCAGGCATGAATGTGTGCCTTGGGAATGCCACCAGGACATTGTCAACAGTCCGCAAGTCCACCAGATCCCCAGCACGCCTCCGGATGAAATTGGCCAAACAGGGATCCCCCACCGCCTTGATGGCAAGTTCAAGATCGTAGCCAAACCTCTGCTGGAACATTGCGAGCAGGTCGCAGAGCGGTAAGCCGCCAAACCCCTTATTGGCAGCAAATTCCCCCAAATTGTCAATAAGGAGTTGCCTTACATCTGTAACCAAGGTGGGCGGCACCTGCACACCTTTCTGACCTGCGTTTTGGGGCGGCTGAAGGCTCAAGTGCTCCGGGGGCCCATCTGCAGGTTGACTCCAGCATGGCCGATGGAGGACTGACCTCGTGTTGTCCAGGCATCGCCGCTTCTCTCTCCCGCTGGCCTCGAAATCTGGAGGTTTTCTGAAACCCCCTGCCACTCCCCAACCCTGTTGCCCTTTTCTTTGCAGCATAGTACCACTGGCACTGCTGTGGTGCATCTCGTTTACGCCTGCTGGGATTTGCACGAATGAATCACATCCTTACAGAGGGGTTGACAAGATTTGGGGGACTAGCCAGATCTATACTGCTCTGTTTGATGTGCTGAAACATGTGGAACATGACTACACTTGTTTTTCTACTGTGCTTGCAAGCCACATCAGTACAGTCAGCTCATCCTTACAAGCAGCCAATGCATGGTGGTCATTGCACTTGTTTTGAACAAGAACACACAAATGCAGCTAGATAGAGGCAATGTCAGAATCTTGGATGCTCAACGCCATCTCAAAGTGGCCCGGGATGCCTAAAAAACCCACATCATTAAGTGACAATACTGTACAGAAAGTCCCCAATATCGCTATCGAGCACCCACCTGTGCATAACAAGACATTGCCACCTACCAAGCCACTTTGTTGAAATCTACAATCTTGCTGGTAGTTTGTTTTTGGGGCACGACATACAACAACGCAAAAAACTGTGCGAGTGAGTCAGATGGCACGCAATAGTCCAAAAGATGTCTCCACACCCCCAAAGTGCAAATTTCCTGTCTTTTGTGTTGCTTGTGTTGCGTGCTCATCGTTTTGCACCGGGCGACTCTACATAATTCTTTTGCAGGTTGGAAAAGAGCCTCACGCACTTGCTTAGAAAGGGGTGTCCTCAGCGGACTGAGCGCCTCTTCTTCAGTAATCTTATACTCCTTCCTGGTCTACCATCCCCAGTGCACACCTGCCGAAATTGGATTCGCCAGCATGCGGCCCTGCCCGGCCACAGGCCATGTCTGCCGCCGATTGATTCCCTCTCCCACAGCACTCCCCCTGCCCCATCCATGCGTGGCACTCGCCTCGCCGCCTCCCATCGATCTTGCAGGACGCTGAACACCGGCGCCTGCCACAAATCGCCACCGGTCTGAATTGTTGGGAGCGGATACATCGGCACTGGAGTGTGTTTGGTGGGTTGGGGGGGAGTGTCAAGATTTGTGACAAAGAGGTAAAAAAGCAGGCCAAAGCCGCCCCCCCCCCCCCCTTCAAAGCAAGTACATGCCAGACACTTGCCAGGGGGGGGTAGGGGGGAGGACCCAGGCTCCCGACGCCACTAGAAGCCACGTCATCACGCCATCGGCCCAAAGGACATCCCCAGACAATCGCATACATCGCGTCTTGCGGGGACCGCCGCGAAACACCCTCTTCTTCGCAAGTATATGCGTGGAGCGGCGACAACTCGGATGGCGCACAAGCTAGGAAGTAGGTGACAGATTCAGCGCCTCGTGCGAAGGGTGCCCCGGACAGAAACCCCGCTGGCGCTGTCAAGATCGGCATGCCGGTTACCGCAGAGGCAGGAGAGGCCGCGTCCCGATACGCGGATTCCGATACGCGTTCGGTTGCGATACCGTGGAGGCTAAACAGCCCCGGCGGTAGCCAGCCAAACCCCTCGCATCAGCACGGCCTTGTTCGGGCCGCCCGGCCGTCAGGAGGGCGGAAACAACTGGCCGGCCATGGTTCACAGCAGCAGGCTTGAGAGCCGGTCGCGCAACGATTGGATGATGGGTATGCGGTTTGCTTTGCGCCGGCACAGGCTGGCAAAGCCCCTCTCATGCGCTAGCATAGCCTCGCGTGGGCCATGCGGCCGTCGGGAAGGCAGAAACAACGGGCTGGGCAAGGTTCAGAGTGGAAAGCCCAAGTCGAGCGCTCAACGATTGGATGAAGAGATCGCGGTTAGCTTCGCACCGGTGTCGCCACTCACCACGGCTCCTGCGCCGGGGCGTCGGCCCCGAGGCGCGCCAGACACGCCGCTATGCCGCCAACAGTGCACGGGCCACGAATTTGGGGCAGGGCTGGACTCCCAAAGTACAGGAGGCCGGGCTTGGTTTTAACCAAAGCTTGATGATGCTTAATGAGCGTCATCAAGAAACGTTCTCGTTGATCTTGACGGAGGCGGGCAGGGTCGATGGGGGGCCCCCCGACTAAGGACCGCAGGCCGGAGTGGACGGCAACGGTTCACAGCGAAGGAAAGGGACAACAGGATTTCTGTCCATTGTATATCCGGTCCGTTCATCCGTGTCCTTGATTTGGTTCTTGACAGGAACTTCCCGTTGTCTAATCACCTCCTTATGCATCAAGCTATCAATAATACTAAATCAGTTCTGGTTACAACAGTACTTGTTGGGCATCATCAAGGTTGCCTATATCAGCGATAACGCTATTGTGGGCGCATGATCACCATCAAGGGCAGATAATGGTCCGTGAGGCCATTACTCGTCAATTTCTTACGGCAAGGGAGGGAGGTTGCCCTTCCGTGAGGGCATGACTAACTCACTCGCTCCGGTGACCGGTGTATCACCATTGTCGTGTAAAATTTTGTGATGATGATGACAGGTGAATCAAGCATCGTGCATTCGTGCCTGTCTCCACGCGAGCGTGGGCTGATCGGGATGCGAGCGCACCCTCGCAAACAGTTGTGGGGATACCAACACGCAGTACATCTCTGACATCGCTACTCTGTTCCTTTCTCTGCAATTTCCCGGAAGAGCACCGCTCGACACTTGAAAGGAAAAGTCAGCCTTTTTTTGCACCGTTTGATAATGAGCATAAAGTTCATTGCAAATGCTGATAATAACATATTGGCATTGTAAAATGCTTTGAAACCTAGCATATCATGTCATGCCGACTGTAGGCATCCCAGTATTAGTTTGTCAGATTGTCCTCAAGTGATTTTTCCAAGCTGTAAAAGCAAAATCGAAATTTCAATATCTTTGTAGAAAAGCATCCAGAGTCACGCCTGTGTGCCGATGGGTGTATTGAATTACACTAATGCAAGTTTGCATGCCATTAAGGGGTTGCTAATAACGTGAGATATGCACAAAAGTTGTAGCTGCAGATGGCCAGTTTTTCTATTGTGACAACATGGTCGCACTTGCAACAGCGCTCACCAAGCAATCCTGGACACAGCGGTCTCCTACGTCATGACTTCAAAGGCTTCAGTATATCAAGGGTCCAATTTCATCAGATCTTGCTGGATGGCATTAACATTGCATGCTCGAACAAATGATGATATATGGAAGCGCATCGTTCACAAAAGAGCATTCCACTTCTTGTCCGGCTAACATACGCCGCGGGAGACGCAAGTGCATTTGGAAATTTGTAGCCAATTTTCAGGCCCTTGCACGTTTTCAGGCTGTTAAAGTACATGCCCCTTAGTGATCGCCCCGAAGGACCCATAGATCACAGGCTGAACTTAATCTTCGCTCCATTGAAACTCCCATTGCTTTGAGAGTTCTAGATCACCACATTGAACTGAACAAATAACCCATTGCTTAAATTGATGATCAATCATAATCAACATCGTCAAGAAATCAATCCTGATTGAACAACATCACGTCACTTCACATGCTCAGTCCACATGCATCACCCTTTCAACCCAACATATCCAACCATCACACATGACTTGAGAAACCCACACAACACTTGCTACCACTTTTCTGCCTCTTTCCAAATGCAATGCTGCCCTTTGCACCACACCTTGCTTTGAATCTATAGATCCATCATGCGGCAATTCATGTTACGCGCACCAGCCTGATGTGGGAGACGTCCTACTAATGGCCCTTGGTGTGGGGGACGCCCTGCCCAAGGCACGTACTATTCCTCACCCACTGTAACCTTTATCCATATTAGGATACGGGAGTAGGAGGGGTGGTCCCGCCTAGGTGCCCTGTAAGGACCTAGGTGCCCGGCGAGGCGGGTCCGCGGCTCAAAGAGGGCAGGAACCCCACACCCACATCCTATTCGTAACATTTGGTTTCGGAGCCGCCTGAGGGTGGCGGCCACGCTTCCACCTGGGAGCGCGCGAGAGTACAAGACGCCGAAGCCCTTCCCCGGCCTCCTCCATGGAGGCTGAGGAATCGGAAGAACAAGCCCGGGATGGGCAGGCGATCGATACAGCCCGGGATGGGCAAGGAACTGAACAAGCCCGGGATGGGCCAGGAGGTGTAACAGTCCGGGAGGACATGGCTGGACCCTCCACAGCCACATCGGTACCCGCAGAGGAAGATGAGCTGATGGAAGAAGTGGACACCCCGCCAGCGGCGGAGAAGACACAGGAGCAAGATCAGGACACTGAGGCGGCGGCGACGTTGCTGAAGATCCCTGGTATCAAAGAACTCCTGCAGAAGATGACGGATACCGCGGCCGAGAAGGCGAGAGCGAAGCGGGATGAAGAGACCGCCGAGAGGATCGCCTCGCTGGAGATCGCCGTCAACAAGGCCAAGAAAGAAGCTCGAGAGAAAGAGCTGGCCATGAAGAAGGCGAAGCAGCAGAGCAGCGAGGCACAAGAAGCCAAAACCTCCGCCGAAGACCAGGTCAAGGCGTTGAGTGACCGCCTCCTGAAGCAAAAGCAGCGGGCCCAGGAGGCAGAAGAGAGAAGCGCCCAACAGGTGGTGCCGGCTGTGAGGGCCCCTAGTCCGTCGGAGCTGCCCATGCCAACCATTCCAGAGGAAGACTCGAAGGTTGCTGGCAAGCAGCGCCCCAAGCGGAAGAGTCCATCGCCAGGTGAGCGGCCGATGGAAAGTGAGAAATCTCCATATCAAGGTCGGGAGGCCAAAGCCTTAGGGCGAGTTGAGAGAATGCAAGGCCGGAAGGTCAAGATCCCGGAGCTACGGCTCAAATCCCAGGTGTATGTGAGAACACCTAGTGGATCGGACGGGACTGGAGATGAGTCGCTCACAGAAAGCGCTCAAGCTGTTTGCGGAAAAAGTCCGCCAAGGCCGGGAGGCCATAATTGGAGCCCTCGGAGGCCTGCGCTACCAGAATGGGGGCCGGGTGAAAGCTCAAGGGTGCCGGAGTTCGTTCCAGACACTCGAGATCCATATAGCCGGCAACCACCGTGCCGTGCAATGTGGACAAAGTTCCACAGTGATCTCGTCGATGAGCTTGACGAGGGATGGCGGATGGCCGCCGACCAGTTTGGAGAAAGGTTAACCACCGCCAGACTGGTTAGAATACAAAGGTGGTACGGTCCTGGAATGGCAGATCAAATTGCCAAAGAGGACCCAAATTGGCCAGAAAAGATGGCCTTTGCGCTCAGGCATATCCCGGAACCATGGGACTTGAGCGAGGGGAGTCCAGAGAGACCAGACCCTAATGATCCCCACGAGCGGTGGGAGGAGATCTCGGAATTGTCGTTCTCATCATGTGCTTCTCCTTTGCTGGGTGATATGTCAACCCGTGCACAAGTGCATAGAATGGAGAAGGAGAGACGACGGATTCGTAACCGAGATCGTTTTGCTCGTGCAAAGAAATTAGACGAGCAAAAGGCCAGAAAGGCCAAACAGCGGAGAGAGTTGAAAGCGCTGCGACGTGAGCGGGATCGCCAATTGAATCCTGAAAAGTATGAGCGTAAGCGAGCTCACAAACGCCAGCGCAAGGCTGAGATCAAGCGGTTTTTCTCCGCAGGAGGCAGCCAAAAGGCGCAGCGCCTGGAGGTACAGCCCAAGGTCGATGAGCTGGACCCGGCCGAGCAGGCTAAGGCCTTTGCCTGTATTGCCAAGGAGGGGACCTCCACCCGCTGGGCAGACCAGCAGGACAGTAGCGGCAGTGACAGTGGTGTAAACCACCCTGCCCGCTTTGTCCCTATCCAACCGGAGCCGGCATCGCCATCGGTTGTGGTAACCAGCGGTCCTAAGGTGCAAAAGATGCCGGAGAGGGAGATCCCGCTTGGAGAAGCAAAGGCGAAAGAACAGCCTGATAAGGCAAAAGACCC